ATGGCCTCCAAAGCTACACAGAGAAACCCTGTCTCGAAAAACAAAAACAAAAATGACATTTGTATATAGTTCTCCCAAGCTTCTCCAAACTAGTGGGATCCTCTGTCCAACACCGCTTCTTAAAACTACAGGAAATGCCACACATTTCTCACAAAGCCCAACAATGCTCAAAAATAGTACTTAATCAATTCTGATCACATACTGAAACCACGTTTCTCCTCTGATGAACTTGACAGTGACTTCTTGTTATTGGGCCATTATCAGGTTTATGTTTATCAATGATTCTTGCTCGCTGTCCTCATTATTTTCATCTTCCAATATAGTTTTGAAAAGGGGACTTAGAATGCGACAAGATGCCCCAGGATGCTAGTGGTGCAGCTTTTAGAGCTCCCTCATGGTTCCATCCATGGGCTATGCTCTCCTGAGCAATTGGGCTTCCCCTCCTTTTCAATCACCATGATGTCTGTCTAGGGGACATCCCCAGATGCTCTTTGGTAATACCTCTTTTTAAGGAAAGCTGTGTTTAACACCCAAAAGGATAGAGAAATGAGGCACTCAATGCTCTTTGGTAATACCTCTTTTTAAGGAAAGCTGTGTTTAACACCCAAAGGGATAGAGAAATGAGGCACTCAATTTTTTTTTTTTTTTTGCCTCAGGCTGGGCATTGAAATCCAGCCTCACACATACATTGCAAGAGTTCTTCCACTGAGCTACAACCCCAGCAAAATGATCCAGTTTTAGATTGCAGAAGCTGAGGCTTGGGAGGGACTCCAGGATTTAGGGCTGTGGCGCCTAAAGAGGAATAGAAGACAGACTATATGCAAAGGCGAGAAAGAGAGGAAGTTGCTTAGGAGTTTCTTGAGATTACTGTGTGCATCTCATAAAGTGCTTTGCCTATCGTCTAAAACCGTGAGACAGGAATTCAGAGTTCCATAGTTCGGAAAACCCACAAGTGCATTTCTAGAGTTATGATCCCTGCCAGGCTTGGCCAAGTTTCTGAACACTTGACATCGCTCCAGTGAGTGGGTCCATAGCTGCCTAAGCAACTATGATTGAAATATAAGAAGTTGCAAAACACTATTTTCAAACCTGGAAATAAAAATAAATCTTAACCCCCCCCCCAAATTACATGATGCATTGGCAGACTCCTAACATCTCGTCCTAGCATGGGTCTGCTCATCTAATAGGTATCAATGGTTTACATCAAGGGTGGGTTCTGTTAGAATCATTCATACAAATGATCAGTGGTCTGTGTTGTCGTCTTGCATGGAAGCAGACAACAGGCTACTGAGGACCTGTGCACGAAAGCAGCAGTTCAACAGCTGGTAGTTCGCCCTTCACAGGAAGCGGTGACTTGTGGGTTTGCCTTTCCTTTCTGTTGAGTTATATAGATGCAGCACGAACACTTCCCTTCTTAGGGGAGCAGAGAGATTTGTTCAACCAGCTTGGCGAAGGCTGGAAGAGAAAACGTCTCAGGACATCGGGACTTTTCAAGTATTTTATGATTCAGTATCAAGGCATATGATGAGCTTCCGAGGAAAGGAATTTTGGAAGAAGAAGCGGACAGTGAAGAGAGTGAACCCAGAAGGAATCCACAGGGTTAGTGCTGTAGGTATCTGAGCAAACTTCTCATCTTATCTCCCATGTTTTCTCTGAAAAACTGTGCTTTCAGAATGGGTTTCTACCATGAGTTGCTGGACAAAGGTGCTCTATACAACAGTGTATTCCATTTGGCCCTTTTAAAACTTGAGTATTTATTTTAAAAGTCACCTTGTTTTCAATTTTTATGTAACTGACACATACCGATGCTGGATTTAATCTGAACATTACAAGAGTAATCGGAATTTACCTAGGGCGATCCTAACATTTATGTATTATTGTTTCTGAAATTCCTTCTCTTAGTTCTATTTGTTTGCTTTGAGATTTATGTTTTGGTTTGAGTTTGGGGTTTATATTTCTGAGACAGAGTCTCACACGGTAATTGAGACTGGCCTGCAATTACTATGGAGTCCAGACTGACTCAGGCTCCCATCAATCCTCCTGCTTTGGCTTCTGAGTAGGGGATTACAAGTGTGAGTTGTATTTTCTACCTACCCTCTTTCTCAAAGAATAGTCTGAAGTTCCCTAAGTTATGACTCCAATGTACTCATTTGTTTACAGCTATATTTTCTTAAACATTGATGCTTTCTTTTTATCATGTACCACTAATTTAACATTCTTAGAATAATTCAACCTATGAAGGGAAGTGTAAAGAGTTTCATCAACAGAGCCAAGGAAGATTATAAAAGGTCAGAAAGATTTTATTTTATTGTGAAAATGGTTCTTCCTTTTTGTTCTTGCAAAATGAAAGGAAAACTATGGACAGACACATGTCCTTACAGATACCCATCTAGAATTCTGTAGAACTCAGTGGTAGCCAATCACCGGAGCACCTCCTATATCAGGGAGGGTTCACTTGATGTGGCAGAGGCTGCAGCAATGTCATTGAGTAGCTCATTTTAGAAAGTTGATCACTTCACAGAGTTGATCCAGTTCTGTGTGACCTCTTCAGAGCAGTCCTCAACCTCAAAATTATGGTCATTTGGAGTCTGAACATTCTTATTGTGGGGGTTCTTCTACACATTATAAGACATTTAGCAACTTCCCTGTCCTTTCTTTATGGGGTCTTGATGGCAGTTGTTCTGAAAGGCACTCATATTAAATGTCCTTGTTGACAACTGCTTTTCAAGGAGTTGTAAACAAAACAGGACAACAACAAAAACCTGATAAAACTCTTTACTAATACAAATATCTAAGTTTAAAAACAGATGTGACTTCTAATCACACAGACACACACACACACACACACACACACACACACACTATATATATATATATATATATATATATATATATATATCCTTCCTTATATAATGGTTTCCTTATTTAATGGCTATTAAAAAGGAACCACATTTATTTGCTAATAAATAAATTTTTTTGTTTGTTTTCTGGCTTGTAAGATTGGCAGTGTACAATTTGTTCAACTTCAATCTCAGTAGTTCATATCTGTGTTAGGCAAACACAAACAATCATGTCCCTTGGCATTGTTCCTCAGGCATGTGGCCTGGGTTTGCCCCAGAATTTGCTCTGCATTGCCAGAAATGTGTTCTCTTGACCAGCTCAGCAAAGGCCTCCTCAGTTGTTTCTCTTTAATCTTCTAAAGAGTAAAATTGTTTCAAAAATTCTCTTGGTGTGTGATGGTTTCAACCTTCAGACCAGGAAGCCTAATTCTCAGGCTGTAGTTCTCTCAGTATTTAGAAACACTGTGGGTTATGTCACCATGAGATTTACTTTTTGTTTCCACTAAAAGAGACAACACACAGGAGAATAATGAGTCTATCTTACATCCACCACACATACAGTATGGGCAAGAGGACAGTCCCTAGTGTTTCACGGAATAATGAAGCTAATCACTCTATAAATTATCTTAATTGAATTTGAACGTATTGCTACTGAGTACTATGGGAGAAGCAGCCAATGAGGACCTGGTGTTTTCCCACAGCATTCAGTGGCAATGCATTCAAATTTAATTAAGATCATTCATACAGTGATTAGCTTTCTTCTGTGGAAGGCACTAGGGACTTTCCTGCTACACTTGCCTGGTTTTGGTCCGCCAAAGATAGGGATATCTACTTCCACAGTCTTTCTCTTCTATTGAGTAAAGAATTATTCAGTCTGTCCTCAAGTATTACCCCAAGATGTGTCTTTCATTTTGAAAAACTTCAGAAAGTGAAACAAGTAATTAGAGTGGGCACATAAGACAGACACCTCAGGGTCAGCCAGACTCTTGCCCTCTCTGTACTCACGTGCAGATTATTTAAATTACTCTGAACTTCTGTTTCCCTTCTGAGATATGTTTCTGTAACACCCATCCCATCTTAAGATCGCTCGTTAGAATTACATGTATGCCTTCTGAGCCTAGTTTGAAAGCTGCAAAAGATAAAATGATTATTCTTTAAGTATGAGTGTTTCCAAGAACAAGAAAAAAAAAGGACACAATTGCAATACAGGTTTCTTCTAGGTGGCTCAGTTGCAGCCACAGGGTGTAGGGGATTCTGTCGTGTGGGAGGAGCAATTTTGATAACACAGCTACTCAGTAAATACACAACTGGATTGTGTTGACTCTCTGGTGCTCCAGGGTTCCAAAATTCTGTGTGCGGATGGGATGGGCCTTGCCTCAGAGTGTGCCATGTCCTCTAACTATGTATGCTCAGGTTAGCAGAAGCCTACCAAGAGTCAGGTAGAACTTTCTACCACAGGTTTATCTAAGCTTCTAAACATTCAACTACACTCCTAGATTGCTCTTGGTGCCTCCTGAAGAGGTGGTAACAAGAATGCAAATCAAGTGACAGAGTTCCCCAACAAAGACATAAAGTCATGCTAGGGAACTAAAAACTGTATGACTTTACATTGTTTTAATTATTTTCTATGTTGTAGTGAAAGGAAGATAATGATTATTGGATATAATTACCACAATTTCTGCCCCCACCAACACCATAATAATCATGAGGGCATTGGCACCACATTCAACCCCTGCCCTCAGGCAAATTTAAAATTTACTGAGTTTCATAATCATCTAGAATACTTATTCAGAACCAGGACTTTCTGACACATGTGCCTTTCAAATTTTATACTCTCTTGACCCAGACTGGCAGTCTTTGTGCATTCTGAATCCTTCAAGTGCTATTTAAAGCTGTGTGTTATTATTATATATAATATATAAAGCAGTATATGGTTATTCTGAGGACTGGAGATATAGCTGAATGGTAGAGGGTTTGCCTAACATGCAAGGCACTGGGTTAGGCCCCCAGCACCTCAAGAAAATAAAACCATCATTACATTACTCCTTGGCATGAAATTTTAAGTTGTTTGGAAGCTTAGCTTGTTTGCCCAGCTTTCAAATACACTGACTAAGAAATACCTTCATAAAGTTGGGTCCATGTTTCCAGAGGCAGCATACAAGTTAGACAGTACTGTGTTCTGAGAAATGTTCAGAAATGAAACTTACTGTTGAGGTCACTGACTGCCTGTGTCCTTGATTCGTAGAGTTGTATGTGCTGTTCTCCAGGTGATTTTTTTTAAAAAGCTGCAGTTATACGTTTACTTTTATTTTTATCAGGATTATTTAACATGATCTCCAGTGCATAGGAAATCTTAATGAAATGATCATTTCCTTCGTCAGTTTCATGGCCTCACTTGGAAAGATCACATCCATGATTAAGTTGAGTTATTATGTCTGTCATCTGCACAGTCAGAAGCGAATGCAGAAGTTTTAAAAATAAATGTGATTCATTCTTTTAAAGTTGTCACTGGCTTGTGGATTATTAATCTGCAGGATTTCTGGGTGTTTGGAAAAGCTTGGATGCGCATGACAGTTTGTCTTCTCCTTAGGACTGTGGCCCGTGAGCACTTTAGGAAATGAAAAGTATAGGCAGAGACACTAATTGGAGAGATGTCTAATGGGTTCCTGTCATCCCAGTGCATTGCATTGCCCTGCTGTCTCTCAATCCAGCTTTAAAGTACTTAGCCAGGATAACTTTTGTAGGGTAATGTAAATCATCTGCCTTCCTGTTCATATATTCTCCTTGGCTGTTACTGCTTGTTGTGTATGCACATTTAGAGTGGGGTATCTATTTCTGCCTCCTTATAAGGATCTAGTTAGCAAAAGGGAAGCACAGAGTAAGGACCAGGAGTGATGTGCTAAAGTTTTTTTTTTTTTCTTTTTTCCATTTCCTTGTAGAACTGGGCATTAAACCCAGGGCTTTGAACATATTACACAAGCACCCTACCTTTGGACAGGGAGATGCTTGGAGAATAAGAAGGGAGACTGGGGCCAGACTGAAGCAAAACTGGATTGCAAGGATGAAATTCACAGAAAGGCACTTTGAAAAAAAATAAAGAAGCAGGAGTTACCAGGGATTTCTGAGCCCAGTCAGACCACACACAAAAGGAGAAGTGTGCTGGGAAACTTGGATCCAGCCTCAGACTGGGTGTGAAGGCAGATCAGGGGAATGTGAGTGGACCACAGAAAGAGGGCTAGTAGTTCAGGTGCTAGGGAGCTGTAGAAGGGCTGCCTCCAACTTGGACTTGGGAGGGGAGTCTGTAATGTAACTTAGAATGACCGATCTCCCTTTCCTCCAGGCTGACTGTTATGGGAAAGAGAAGAATCAATGCAGAAAAGAACCACCTGTCCATCAGAGTTTAAGATGTGTCATTTGTTAGAGGAGAAGTTTTATAGTGCTTAGGAAGTAAATTCATGATACCAAATCAGACCTGATATGGAATTGTTTTCAAAGGATCCCCTTGAGATGCCTCAGTGAGTAAAGTGCTTGCTGTGTAAGCATGAGGACCTGAGTTAGGGTAGCAGAAAGACTGGAGCTCCTTGAGTAGCCAGCCTAGCTGAACAGGTAAGCTCAGGGTTCAGTGAGAGGTCTTGTCTCAAGAAGAGTGAGGTGAAGAGTCATTGAAAAAGACACCTGATATTGACCACTCACCTCCAAATGTATGTACACACACATACACCCTCACACAAACATACACATACCTGCACATAGCCCATACACACATGC